GCTCCCGACTTAAGGGGAAGGATGGACGAAACGGCTTGCAAATTTCATTGATTTGATCATCCCCCAAATGTAAACAGAGGCCGCGACCTTGCAATGCTTCAAAACCGGATCTGAACCTTCCCCTGCCCAGCCGCGGCGTGAGCAGAGCTCATGTCCTGACCGTCAGGGGCGCCTCGTGACCGGCTAGCGCGCCAGCCCGTGCTTTTGGTGCTCGTTAGGCGCCACCGCCTTGACCTCCGACTGGACTCAGTGTCCGGCACAGCGAGGGGCACGTGGTAAGCAGCAGTCGCTGCATATGGATACAGCGACAACGCCAGAGACAGCGAATGTATACCGCTTTTGGCTGCGGAGTTTCGCTGGGGCGGAGCAAGATGAGACAAGTTGGTGCAATATAGGTAAAGATGCAGGGGCAGCTGCTTGCAGTGGCAAAATAGAGCAAGGCAGTAGCGGGGCAGGAGAGACAAGACCACTCGAATTTTCGTCAACTTTTTTGTGTTTTTGCTCTCAAAATGCACGTTGTTCACACGTTAGCTTACAACAATAACATTTTCGAATCAGGCTGTTCCCCATATTTCAGCTTAACCCCTCCAACGCTGGTGTATTCCCACAATCTCAAAGACAGGGCCACACGTCTCATACCGCAATCCTCCGGAAGGAGGCACGGGGTGCCGGAGACCCCCGTTTTCCCGGCCGAGGGCGTGGTTAGCCGGGCAAGCTCGGGGGAAGGGGGAGGAGGCGAGCGGCACGTGGCAGGCCGGCGGTCCCGGGAGCACCAGCGCGGCACGTGGCAGGCCGGCGGTCCCGGGAGCACCAGCGCTGCTGACGGAGCGCATTCGGAGAAAGCTTTTGTGCTCCATATGTCACGCCATTTTCTTCCGAAAAGCGGCACCCGCTTGCCGCGCTGCGCGAAGGAACAGCGGCGGCCAGGGGGCTCCGCTGTCTTCGCTGCGTGAGGAAGCGACGCTGTTCGCATCGATAACTCCGCCGCCAACAACGTAACGTTTACTCGTATCTCAACAGCATGACGTCTATCGACTACCTGCGAATTTTGACTAAATACCTGCGAAATCGCCCTGTATCTAGTGTACACTTCATGGTTCAGAGAGTATCAGCCCGTGGCTCATCGTGCTACATCCCGAGTTAACATTTGTAAGCTGCTTAACACTCATGGATCATGGATCACAATTTCATACACGCACTGCCTGTGGATCTCCAAACTGCATGTGTTACCCAGTAACCCCTGAGCATCGATACTTCGAATTCCTGCTTGCCGCACTGCGCGAAGAGCCGTCGTCGTTGGTGCCGGTACTCTCGCCACCCGCGTCGCGACAACTTTGCGAAGTGAATTTCATTAACATTTAATGACCTTTCCACTCATGGAACACGCGGACACATCGCCTGCCCAGCGCTGTTTCACGCCCTTGGGTCATCACATGAATATCATTTAGCTGTGGCTTCTTCATACCTCGCCACGCAAACAGCCAGCGCGGTTGGCGTCGTTATTGGATCCCCTCCAGCCACATAACATTCATTCACAACTCAACACCGCACGGTATGTGTTTAATGTATTTATGTGTTTTTGTACACTTTCATTGCCTGCGTCAGTTGACAGTCCCGCGCTTGAGGACGCAGCATTGATCATTGTTCGCGCTTGGAGCGCATGTTTTCGACCGCTTGGGCTTTTCACCCTCTTCGAATTTCCGCTTGCCGCACTACGCGAAGAGCCGGCGCCGTTGGCGCCGGTGGTGCCTACAACCGCGACACGATAGCTTTATGAAGTGCACTTGTACAAGTGCACAAGCACACAAGTACACGATAGCACTTGACCGCTCGGCCTCAGCGCAAACTTGTTTCTCCCACGTATACCAAAAAGTGTCTCCCTCGTAATGCCAAAACATGTCCCTCTCGCGCGCGCTGTGACCGATGTCGATATCGGGGGGACGTGAATTAATGTCGTGGATCGTTGCAAAGGTGAAAGTTTGCGCAAATTTTAATGTAATCTGCAGTCAGCTCCGGAATAATCCGCGGCAAGGCACATTTGTTTTCTTTATCTGCTCCCAGATGTAACGGTTGCAGGCATAGGGCACTCCGAAAGTTATTGCACGGCTGCACACGCTCTAGGAACAAACGATAGTTATTGCAAGAGCTGTGTTATAAGTTTCGTACTCAAATGGTTTCGCCGTTCCACATGTCATGCAACATCTCATACAACAAATCGGAAACTCTGTCACTTGAGGCTTATAACCCAATAACCGACGGTGGTAAACCCGAAACCTCATATGCTCTGAATCAGCGTGGCGAAAAGAAGATTTATGCCACACCTTAGCTCAGATCAGGACCACTGTGCATGGCGCCGCGCGAGCAAACCTGGCGCACAAAGGCGGTCAGCTCCGTACCATTTGAAACTTTTGAGAGCAACGAAAAATATCGCCACCAAGTGCTATCGATTGCAGGTCTGTCGGTTGCGAGGAGATGGATAGAGTCAGAACCAGAATGTAACGACCAATACGACTTACAAACACAAAGTGGGTGGTGGTTCCAAAACAAATATTATGCGAGTGATGATTCGCGACGTTACATGATGACAGCGTGACGAACAGAAAGAGACGAGCAGAGCAGCAGTAGGCATCTCAGCCACCAACGTGTGCGTACTTCAGCGGCCACAAAGCAGCAGGACAGTTCGCTAATCAATTCTCACATGCTGGCAACGGCCAGGCCCAGTGCCATTACAGCCCAATCGAGCGTCTCTGCGGCAGCCTGGCCATGCTCTTCCAGACCAGGAGGAATGGTACCAAGACCCAACTTGGCTCAGCGAACAGGTCATCCTAGCGTCGAAAACATTTGTTGCTGATGATATGAACTTCACTGATTCTGGGGAAGCAGCAAGGATGGACAGGGTTTACATTGTTCATTTGTTCAGTGCATTATTAAGTCGACGGACATTGTTCCACTCCACGAGGAGTCTGCGAACTACTAGTTGGAGACATTTCAGCGGCCTAGAGCCATCGGGACGGCCATCACTCAACTTGTTCTCAAGCAAGGTACGCCAATCAAGCTCCATAGGAGCCTGAACCCAAGCTATAAAATAATGACAGACGAATAATAACGATATGTAAGTGGTGACAATAGTTACAGGTCAAGGTCGGTCAGCCCTACGGAGGCCAAGCTCTTCACCCCATAAATTCCGTTCATCCCATTCGACGTGCCATTTTCTTAGTTAAAGCGGATGCAATTTCCTCTCGAGCAGAGCTCTGTAAGCCCAGAGTTCATAGCTACACAGTGACTACGAATAAGAGTAAATGCAGGTTCCTGATGGTATTGGGCCTCGGTCTGACTGAGCCAGCGTTCTCCCGGAGTTAGCTCTACGTTGCAGCTCCAGGATGGTCTTCTGAAGGAAATGTTCTACTTTTGTACATACTGGGACAAGCACTAGATATGGTAAAATCAGCACGATTCTAGCCATTAGGTGGCATTTAACTGTAAAAGACTGATCTAGGTGACAAGCTTTCACTGTTTAGTAAATATTGCAGCGGACGGGATGCACTTACTTGTAGTACTTAAACTTGCCGAGAGGTGGCCGTACGGAGGGCAGTTTAGGGGATGAAAACAAGAATATAACATTAGCAATCCACCCATGCGATCCACCCATCCAAACCACTCATGTAATCCATCTATCCCATCCATCCATCCATCTTAATCCATCAAAATCCATCTAATCTATGCCTGAACCCGGCTCGCTGCTGCCGTCTGTGGCGATGTCGGGCGACGGCACCGGGGGGCGCGCAGGAGCGCACTGTGACTGCAGGAGTGACGGGCAGCTGCTCCTCATGTTTTATTGTTGTGCGTTTTGACATTGCTTTGATAGAGCCTGGTAATGTGGCGCAAAAAAGGAGGAGGGCATGTGCGTGCCCTATGCTCTCGCTCTCCCGCGTATCTAAGAAATACTTAAGGGTTTTCAGTTCATCCCTTCAAAGACGTTTGATACTAGGCAAACGTTACCACGAAAGGAAATCTTTCAACAGTTACTGCGCTGAGAGCGAGAATGGTCAACTGCATGTCAACGGCTATTTCAGACATTTGAATCAAGCCAACATGATCGATGAATGTTCGGCCTCTATCCAACCACGGGTTGAGCCACGGAAACGCTGATGCGCAATGTAACCGTGTCAGCTGACAGCCTGACAGCAGTGCTGCCAAGCGCACACGGTCGCCTTCTGTGCGCGTGATCGTTCATTGGTTGATAATGTTATTTTATTTAAAATGTCTAAAATATAATAATTGGCATGCCGTTATTCATCTTCGTTCTCATTATAATGTCCACATTTATCGCAGAGATTTGTCGCATGGTAAAAAGCCCTCACAAAGATGTCTTGTATCATTCACCAAAAAAAGAAACAGTCATTTCGCAGCACATATAACCAGAGAGGAATCATTATTGATCACATTACCGCGACGTTCATTTAGCTGGACCTCGTACCATGGGTGCGTCATTTCCTTTGGGATGATGCATTTGGAACAGAAGCATTCCCCCCCCCCCCCCCCGCCTGCCCAATTTTCTAGTAAGAGAGGCCCGTCCGCAGCTCATCCCGTAAAGCGCGCCTTTACAACGCACAAAATCCAGCAGCTTCAGCAGAAGCAAATTAGACCGGCCTCAGGCCGGCGCAGCGGTGTTTCTGACGATGTTGGACCAAATGCAACCCTCTAAACTCGCAGACGTGGAAGCGACTATCCTGATGACCTCCTGCAGCTTCTTCGTAAGAGCATTCAATCAACGCGGTTCAGAGCAAAGTGCTTGTTTGAAGTGAAAACTCATGGAATTGGAAATTGTTTCTGTACAAGGCACAAAACACGGTGGGCAAACCAGCAAACATATTTGCGTCGTCCATTCCTGGTGCCCTTTTTCAGAGGAACATGATTCATGCATATGCGCGACGTCATCCGCGGCAGGGTGGAGCACCGTGCTAACCTCGATAACCTTACAAGCTGCTTGCCCGACTGACCTCATTTTGAAGGTGCGCGCCCCAGCTGCCGTAGCCAGCAGCTGGTGACCGAGACAGATGCCGAAGATGGGTTTAGGCTTCGTTTCAACACTCATCAGGTCACGCAGATTGGTCACCGTGTCAGCACACTTGACCGGGTCCCCTGAGACAACAGGGGTCATCACTCGCGGCAGGGGTCAAGGTCACGTAGATTCGGCATACTAGGCAGAGTGGCCTTGAGCGATGGGGGTCACCACTCGGCAAGGGTCAGAGACACGCAGCTCGGCACACGTGGCCAAGTCGCCTGTGACGACAGGGGTCACCTACGCACCAAGCGGGTCAAGGTCATGCAGACAGGTCTCGGCGGTCACTGTATCGGGTCATTGAAGGACGTCAGCGCCGAAAATAAGTACTTTTCTTTGTTAAACGTGCCAATGTAAGGGAAACTTGACCTAAAAACAATCACTTCGCCGAACAAACTTGGCGGGGAAATCGATATTTGCTCCAGAGCCATCATGAAGCATCTCCAGTTGGACGTTTTTCGATCCAAAAATTACAACATTCCGGCCAAGATTTGAACTTTACGCATCCGAATACTCAGTTCCAACTTTTAAGCAACCGAGCAGTTGATACTGTGATCAGCGTAACGATCAAAGAACAGTCGGTGAGAGCGCATGGAGCTTTCCAAATTGCAGGAGTATTCCTAGTTGTAAGGGGCCTTAGGTGCTCGTAGACGACTTACCAGACCTCTCAGTGTTTTACAAAACCTAGCGGCAGGCTTACCGGATATATCAGCAACTTACAGGATACATCACCAGCCTACCGGATATATCAGAGTCTCATGGATATACCAGCAGCTCACAGAATCATTAGCAAATCACCAGATATCCAAAGCTTTCCGGATCCATCTGCAGCTTACTAGGCCCATCGAAACCTAATCAGCTCTACCAGCAACTGATCAGATCTATTGGCAGCTGACAGCGCTCCACTAGAAGCTAGTCAAATCCATCGGCAGTTTATCAGCTCTATCAGCAACTGGTCAGATCTACTGGCAGCTGACGCGCTCCACTAGCAGCTATTCAAATCCATCGGCAGTTTATTAGCTCTGCCAGCAACTGGTCAGATCTATTGACACCTGACCGGCCTCCACTAGCAGCTAGTCAAATCCATCAGCAGTTTGCCACGTCTATCAGCACATCGACATGGCCTGACAGCAGTTGACTGGACCTTACCAGCGGTGTACTGGACCTACCAGTAGTGTATCAGACCTACCAGCAGTGTACCGGATCTACCAGCAGTATATCTGACCTACCACCAGTGAACCAGACCTACCAGCAATGTGCCAGACCCACTAGCAGCGTGCCGAACCTACCAGTAGTGTACCAGATCTACAAGCAGTGTATCTGACCTACCACCAGTGGACCAAACCTACCAGCAATGTACCAGACCCACTAGCAGTGCGCCGGACCTACCAGCAAAGTACCAGACCCACTAGCAGTGTGCCGAACCTACCAGTAGTGTACCGGACCTACCAGCAGTCAACCTGACCTATCAGCAGTCGCCCGCACTTACCAATAGCCCACCGCGCGAGTCAGGAGCTACCGGATATCCTAGAAACTTCATGGATCGGCAGCAGCCCCGCCCCTCCCGGTGTCTCGAAAGCGAGCCGCTCGCACCAGTGGCTTACCCGGCCCGTTGCTGACGAAGAACCCGTCGTACTTGGCCGGGTCCAGCCGCTGGTTCCAGGGCACCAGGTCGACTCGAGCGCCTCGCTTCAGCAGGCAGCGCAGCTGGTTGTACTTGAGGCCGCAGTCCACGGCGCAGATGTAGGGGGCGCCACCGGGGTTGTAGGATACCACCTCCTGTGGTGGGACGGTCTTGGTGAACAGGGCCCCGATGTAGGGAGCATCAGCGACCTGGTGTAGTGCGGTGCAGCCCTCTGTAGCGGGCACGAGTGGACTGAGTTCAGATGTAGGGGGCGCTAGTGGCAGCGTAGGAGCCGTTCGATGTGACCAGCGCTACACGCATCAGCTCATTAGGAGGGGCGTAACTGACACGACATAATGCTGAACCTTGTACTCATTTTAAATCATGACAGGCATATCTCTGGTTTACGAACATATTTCACTTACTGCTTGAGGGATGGCGCGATAAAACCGTGTAGTGAAGTCCTTAAGAGTCGTCTCGCCAAATTAGTCACTAACAGAACAAACCGTGGCCACATCTGTTGGTAAGACCGCGGGCGGAATGGTCTTTAACGTAACACGGCAAGAACAAAAGCGGTCCGTGAAACCATAGGCTTCTTAAAGCATTGGGGAGCATGCTTCTGTCTCTCCACAAAGAGCGCCGCCTGCCAGCCAGCGCTGCCTGCGGCCACGGCTGACCTGAACGGAGACCTCGGCCACCAGGTTACGGTCGCTCGGGTCATCCTGGGCCACGGCGTCCGGAGCCGTGCCGTCGGGCACGATCTTGCCCAGCATCGTGCCCTGCTCTCGCAGCTTCTTGGTTAGCTCGCGCGTGTCAATGCCCTGCGATGGGGAGGGGATGGCTGTTGTGTTGTCTGCAAGCTGGGTAACGACAAACACTCGTGCATGGCAGCTGCAACTGGAGCTGCAAAATGTCCGTTCTTTGAAACAGGTCTGGTCGTCCGCCCACTTCCACTACTCGGAGCTCCTCCTCACACTCATGGCAATGACGCACGCTATGAACACGAGTCGACGACCGCAGGCGCACTGACCCCGGTGTCCTGACCCAAGCTGACGTTTCCGTCCGCCGAGGCACCCGTACCCCCGACCCACGGAAGGTCCGACCCTGCTGCTCGGTCCAGCCGCGTGTCGTGAGGAGCAGCAGCCGCCGCCGCCGCACTGCCTCAGGCCCCGCGTACCGTGATGCCAGGCACGCCCTGCTCCAGCATCCACTGGTGGAGCGCGCGCCGGCTGTTCCAGTGGCTGGGCGCCTCGCAGAGTTCGCCCACCACCAGGCCGGCCGGCCAGATGCGGTCCGACTCGAAGTACCTGCCGGGCGCGGTCGTCAGACGTGCAGGCAGAGCGGGCCGGGGCGCCAGCACCGGCGGCCCAGGGCAACGCATGTAACAAACACCATAGGTACACGACCACGGACTTGGAATGACATCAGATATCAACAAAATGCAATTACGTTCATGACAATTTGAATGTCATAGCACAGGCGCGGGGCAAGATCAATCATCACCCAAGGCAAAACGTCATTTCAGTTGAAAGGGGCGGAAAAGTGTCGTCAGTTCGCTGGGAAGCGACGCCCGGCGTGTGGGCTCCCCCACCTGGGTACGCCATGCTCATCCTTGTCGTCGCCAGGCACGCCATAGTTGCCGATGAGAGGGTAGGTGAGCAGCAGAATCTGAGCCCGGTATGAGGGATCCGTCAGCGACTCCGGGTAGCCGACCATGCCCGTCTGAAACACTGCCCGCCGGCAGATGGCGGCAGCGTTAGCCGAGGCGTGATCCATCACAGCCGCCACGCGGGGTGAGAGGCACGCTCGTCAGATACGCGCGCTCACATCTCACCGCGAATGGCCACCACACAATGGAGTGGCTCACACTCCGTGAGAACGTCCACCCCACGCATCGCCGAAACGAAAGGTGTCCACGCCTGCGCACGGGCTTCGCCAAAGCGACATCGGAGGGGTTTAGGAAGTTTCTTTCCACGCATGGTGCCCACGTGCGTGGTGATGCATTTCGCAAGTTGGTGGACTTACCTGTCGCCCATCTGGCCGGAGCCCATGCCCAGACGCTTGACGCTTCATTTCTTAACAAACGGACCATTTAAACGGACGGACCATTCACACATCCGCGATGCACCGGCGGGGCAAGTCTCGAAATATCCACGCAATTCCCCATGTCCTCAAATAGCCGCGTCCTTTCTTGGACGCATGCGTCCCTTTTTTCTTATTTCTATTATCACAATGATGGGCTTATTATAATCATACAAATAATGGGGTTATTCGGCCGTCACTGTAGTGAGTCGCGCTTATCATCTACCAATCCGGCAGAACCGTGTCGTCCGCTGGCTATGCTAGCGATATAGGCGTTCCTCGAACAAGCGGATCACGTTTTCACTGTGAATGGAAGTGCAGATAGCATGGGAATACTGCCCGAGTTCACGAACATAGCACGTAAATGATGGCAGAGGACTTCCACCACAGTAACAAAAGTCGAAAGCAGCCCGTGGTGTTTTCATTAGAAGAGCTTGATACACTGGGAAAATTATTCTGGAAGACGAAGGCGTCCATTGGCACGGCATCAGCCTGCACCACACCATCTTCACGGTCACGAGTTCAAACCCTTACACGGCTTGGCACCAGTCCCGCCGGAGGCTGCGTGCACAGGTAACCCAGACCCTCGCCCTCCAAAGACAGCGCGGACAGCACGGCTTCCAGACATAGCCGTCGCTGGGCCCTCAGGCTTCAGCTCCCAGGAACGCTGCACGGCCGGCGGCGGCTGGCTGCAGCCCCCTCCCCGGACCAGGGCTCAGTTCACGGAGGCCGCCTGGGACCGAGGATCAGGTTCTGCCACACGACGCCTGCCCGGCGGAACACGGCCAGGCGTCTTACTCAGGGGCGCAGCCAGAGCCTTAGTATGGAGGGGGGGGGGGGGGGCACAGACTGACAAAGGGCCCTCTGTTACCCTGATAGTAAAAGGCCCTCCCCAGAATTGCCGAGTATGACCAGTTTTGCATTGACAATATGTTACATATATATCAAATTACACACTTTTACCCTCTCTAACTGGAATACAGGCCAGACGCCACCACAGGATTAATTCTGCCTTAAGTTTAAAGTGAATAAACTGATAAAATCATGCGTTACATGACTGCATGCAATAAAACGCCGGCATCATTCATGTTACCACGGTCCAGAGGACTCTTTTTTAAACCCACAGAACTCAGAAACTTTGTTAAAATTTTTATCTGCGTTGTACCGAAAAAAATAAGGATTCCGCAAATGTAGATTAAAGATCAAAATGGGCCAACGATATGTATCAACATGGCCAGGCCATATTTATCTGGGAACCTTTAAAATTCAGTCAGAATTGATTAGTGGCACATATTATGCAACGTACTTTTGAGCATGCGCGGTTGGATAGCTTAAAAAAAAAACCGACGCCAGGCGCTGCAGTTTCCTCAGGCCGCGCAGCGCCGGCTCCGTGGCCCACACTAGACCGCAGCCAACAAGTGGACGAAAATAGTGACGCATCTGAAAGACGCATCTTTGAGCGCTATTGGACACCAAATCGTACATTTAGAGATATTTCGGGCGTATGTGTCACCTGTGCGGTTTTAAAATGATGACAGTAACGTATTGGTATTTACAGCACCGCGAAGTAGTTGCTAGAATCTGGTTGTGAACCTGAAGGAGCAAAGGCAAAATTTATATTTGTCATGGTGCTGCAACTGTCAATCTGTCCTGAGAACATCCTCAGAGTTAAAGAAAATCGCCCAGTGTAATCATTAAACTGCACAAACTCATTTTTAAAGACATTCAGAAACTTGATCTTACTATGGTCATTGTCGCACGCTCAGCGCCCGCCCCTGGCGTTACCTGCAGTGGCTAACACCGTTTGGTTTTACGAAAACTGTCACCAAGCCATCGCTATCCTAGCTCCCCGAGACTACGGCCGCGTCAGTGGGGCTTTATGAAGCCCTCAGTTGCTTGGGCTATATGACGCCGCCAGTTTCTCACCTTGGCGGGAAAGGCGGGCACCGTGAGGAATCGAACCCCACACCTATGGTTTCCCAGGCGCGCAGTGGTTGCTACAGGCACATAAACCACTGTATACACTATCGGCACCCGACGCGCGGGCTAAGGTATTTTGATGGTATTTGTTTCGCTCGCAAATTCTGCAAAATATGGAACATTTTCAGAGAAACACGGGATGACCTTGGGTGTTTTGAACTCATTTCGACCCACTCCATTCAGCACTAACGAGAACCCGTATTTCATTCCGGTGAAGGGACCCTCTTGAGTATAACACTACCGGGCACATTATTGTTCCCGGTACACGGCTGAAGGGCCATTCTGTCCTACCGCGGAGTGTTTCTGGCCGTCATTCTGGCGACACGGGGCGGATGCCCTGGCCGATCCGGAGGCTCATAGAGGGATACATCATATCACGATAGCCCGCTCTCTGACGCGGCCCATATCGACTCAGGGGGTCCCCGATCGGAACAATGGGCTCTCTGATCGTTATTTGAGTGCCTGTTTTCGCAGGTCTGGATCCCTGAATAAGACTCCGTCCAGCCGTTTATGCTCTTAGACGCTTCAATCGGGCCCTTGATCGTCGGACCGGGTGGGCCCTCCAGGCTCTTCGGGCCTCCTCAAACACTGCTTTTTCGCCGACTCAGAGGCCCTTTGACAATACAGGGCCCCCGTTAGGGGCCGTGGGACCTCGAGCAATGTAAATCGCTGGCTCTGGCTTCGTCCCTGCTTGAGAAATGGGCAGTTTTGGCCCAAGCCGCCGCGGAGCCGACTGTGCGTTAGAGATGGCGTCCGACCGAAGAATAGGCTCTTATATAGGCTCTCGACTCAGTGGACCCCTGATCTACGCGCAGGGCCATTTGACTGGCATCTGAGTGCCCGTCCCTACGGGCCGGGGTCCCTGAATGAGACCTCTGGCTTGCTTCTGGGCTCTTAATCGCAGGTTCCGAGGGGCCCGAAAGTCCCCTCGGAACCTAAGAGGGAGGGGAGGGGGGGGGGGGCACGTGCTCCCTGTGCCCTCTGCGTGCACTACTAGTCTTACTGTTGCTAAGCACCGAGCTCCCGGTCTTACTGTTGCTGAGCACCGGTGGTGGTGGCGCTGCCATATGTGCCAGATGCGTTAAAAGGCCATGAGTCATTGTTTAAACTAGATGTTTTGGATATAGAGGTTACTGTACATGTCAAGCTATCGGTCCCTGAAATTATTTCTATATTTATATTTATTATCGATTTTTGGCATGTTTCCATGGTATTCTCAATACGTGTCATATCATAGGCGTTGTTCATTCCATTTTCTTTTTGTGAACTCAACAGCGTTTACATAGTGAGGGTGGAGAAGCCAGAATGGTATATTAATCCGCGGAACTCACAATTGGGTTATGCATGGTCCTTCGCTTCCGCCGGCTTACGTACGAACAAATCAACGTCAAGTCCCTGATACCACCCGCGTACAGGGTCTTTGATGTCGCCCATCATGAGGGTGACGTCATTTGCATGATGGAAGCCCACGCACTTCCACAAACCTGATATATTCTAGATTAGCGAGACCTGGCCGCCCTTGGCGATCGACTTAACATTCTCTGGCTACAAGAGAGACGAGATCACCCGAGCCGGGCTGGTCGCCGGGCTGGCTGGTCGTTGTTTACCGGAGTGGCTCCGTTTCAAGACTGTCTCAGTGCTGGAGGACGACTTATCTCTCGGGCTGCTCAGCCGCTTTGTTCACTCAGGAACTCTCAATCTTGACCGTACCAAAATCGCGTGGTCTAGAACGGTCCTATACCTGTTTACACGCCCAGTT